CGGAAGAAATGCCAACAACAACAACAACAACAAAAGAGGAAGATTTAACCGAGGCAGAGATGTCAAAGGTGCAAGTAGTAATAGACCAATATGTCAAGTCTGTGGTAGGATTGGACATACAATAGCTTATTATTTTTACAGATCTGACAAAACTTACATGGGTGTTATTCCAGATCATAATACAAAAAGGCAACCACATTCAATGTTTATTGCTTCAGCTGAAAATTATATAGATCTAAACTAGTATGTCGACAGTGGTGCAAGTAATCATATGACAAATGAAGTTACATATCTTGAGTAGAAATAAGACTATCCTGGTAAAGAATCTCTAATCGTTAAAAATAGTGAGAAGTTTGATATTCATCATGTTGGCTTAGCTAAATTGCCTACTTGTAACAAACAGTATCTGTTACTTGAAAATACATTGCATGTGCCTAAAATTGAAAAGAACTCGATTAGTATATCTAAACTTACTGAAAATAATAATGTCACTATCTTATTTGATTCTCTTGGTTATGTTGTTAAGGACAAGGCAACGGGAAATGTTGTGTTAGAGGGAGACATAAAGATGGACTTTATAAAGTTGAGCTGAAGGATAAACTAATAAATCAAACTCAAAATCCTGTTCAGGTTTTTATTTCTAAATTTTCAAAAAGGTCTTATTTCGAGTCTACTGAGTCCTATCACAAACGTTTGGGTCATCTATCAAACAAAGTGTTATCAAAGGTACTTGAGTCTTGTAACGAAAATTCTATAGTTAATGAAAATATGAGTTTTTGTGATGCATGTCAGCTTGGTAAATCGCATTTGTTGCTTTTTACTATTTCATCTTTACATATTTCATAGCCATTAGAGCTTATACATTCAAATATATGGGATCTTTCTCCAATAGTTTTAATGTCAAGTTTTAATTATTATATTCTATTTCTTGATGATTATAGTAAATGTACTTAGTTACATCCACTTAGGCAAAAATATGATATTATCCGAACATTCATAAATTTCAAAACTCTTATTGAAAACTAATTTGATAAAAAAATTAAGTGCATGCAATTAGATATGGGAGGTGAAAATATAGGTCTTACCAGTGTTTTTCAAAAGTATGGGATTAAAATTCAATATTTTTGTCCTTACACATCTGTTTAAAATAGAAGAGCATAAAGAAAACACTGACATGTGATAGAAATAGGACTTACACTTCTTACACAAGCTAAAGTTCCTCTAAAATATTAGCCATAAGCCTTTTAAACTACTGTCTTTTTGATAAACATATTGCCTACACCTGTCTTTGACAACTTGAGCCCACTTGAACAACTTTTCAATAGAAAATCGAATTATAATCTCTTTAAAATTTTTAAATGTACATGTTATCTGTGATTGAGATTATACTAAACATATAAATTTTAATATCACTCAGTCAAATGTGCGTTTCTTCGTTACACCCATGAAGGATACAAATGTCTAAGCTCAACTAGTAAGATCTATATTTCTAGACATGTAGTTTTTAATGAGTCTAAATTCTCTTTTTATGGTATCTTCCGAAACAAAGAGTCCTTGAATCTCAAACTTTAATTATTCCGCCAAATTCGTTTATCTTTCCATCTCATTCAACAAGTCAAATCTATTCTGTTAACTCAACTGAAAAAATAATGTTTCTCAAACAATAACACATTCTCAAGTTAAGTCCAAAACTTTTGCACCAAATTGTCAAATTAGGAGATTATCATTTGAAGGGGGAGTCGAAGCATTAAATGCCTTACAAATTGATGAAAATTTTGGAAATTTGCAGCAACAACAATTAATTGATACAAGTTCAAATACTAGCCTCTAATGTGATCTACAATAAGAACAATTACAAGCAACGGAGTAAGAACAAATCTTGTTACCTCAAGAAGAAGAAATTCAAGGTCATAAAATGATAACTAAATCAAAAGCTGGAGTTTCTAAACCAAATCAGTATTCATCTTATTTCTAGCTTTATGTTGTTGAATGCTCACCATTAAAAGAACCTACTACTGTTCATGAAGCACTTCAAATAAATTGTAAGAAACAGGCTATGGAGGATGAAATAACAGCACTCAAGAGAAACAACACCTAAACCCTTGTTCCATGTGCTTTAACTATGAATATTGTTGGTAAAAAATGAGTTTTTCGAGTAAAGAACAATATTGATGGCCGTTTTTAGAGATGTAAAACAAGGCTTGTGGCAAAGGGGTTTCATCAAACTCCTGACATAGACTTTGAAGAAACCTTCAACCCTATTGTAAAGGCATCTACTGTTAAAGTAATATTGACTATGACAGCTTCAATGAATTAAAATGTAAGGCGACTGGACATAAATAATGTTTTCCTTAAGGAATAATTACATGAGTCCGTTTTCATGGATCAACCAGAAGGATTCGAGGATCAAAATAGTCCAAATCATATTTGCAAATTAAATAAGGCTCTCTATGGCTTGAAACAGGTGCCAATAACATGGTTCAAAAAATTGAGATCTACACTACTTCATTGGGGTTTCAAAGGATCAAGATGTGATTTTTCACTCTTTTTTCATGAAGAACAAGAACCAAATTATTTTTGTGCTTATTTATATTGAATATATATGACATGAAGTGATCCAAAGCTCTTGTAAGAATTTGTTTAAAATTTAGACAAATTATTTACACTAAAAAGATTTTGGATCTCAGTATTTTTTTCTTAGAATTGAAGTTACAAGAGATAAATTTGGCTTTTATTTGACACAAATGAAATACATTGAAGAATTACTCAGAATAATAAAAATGGGGAATTCAAAATCATGTCCTACGCCAGCAACTGTTGGAGCTTCATTAACAGCTTCAGAAGGTAATCATTTAGACAATCCCACTCAATACAGAATTATAATAGGAGCCTTATAATATATTAGTTACACAAGACTAGATCTTACTTATATCATCAATAAACTAAGCCAATTCCTACAAAAGCCTACTAGCAATCATATCTAGGCTGTTAAAAGAGTGTTGAGATATCTTAAAGGTACTAGTAATCATGGATTGCATATTAAGCCTTGCAACAATCTCACATTCATTAGATATTCATATGCAGATTGGGCTTGTAACAAGGATGATAGGAGATCAATAGTTGGTCATTGTGTATTTTTTGCGACAAGTTTAGTATCATGGAGCTCAAAGAAACAACATGTGGTGTCAAGATCTAGTGCGAAATCAAAGTATCGTGCTTTGGCTCATGTCACTTATGAAATCACTTGGTTGGAATCCTTGCTAAAAGAATTATGTTTTCCACCATCTGAAGTACCAATTACCTGGTGTGACAATCAAAGTGTAATTTCATTAGTAAGCAAACATGTTTTCCATTCTCGAACCAAACATATAGAGGTAGATGTTCATTTCATAAGAGATAAAGTCATTAAGAAAAGGCTGGAGATCATATATGTGCCGTTAGAAGAACAAATTGCAGACTGCTTTACGAAAGCTCTTTCTGGAACAAGATTTAATTACTTAATAGACAAACTTAGAGTTGAAAAAAGACCCCTTACCCAAGTTTGAAGGGGGATGTTAGAATACATACTGCTATAGAAGATTATGCACCAACAAATGCAGATCATACACCAACAGCTGTAAAAAATTATATACCAACAGTTGCAGAGCATCAAACACTAGCAACTGCAGAGAATCCAACATTAACAGTTTTTCAGTCCCTCCTCATCGACCATGACTGTCATTTTGTAAGTTCTTTATAACAAACTTTGTCATTATTTGTTTTCTCTCTCTCAATACATGTCCATTTTTATTACTACATGTGTAATCTTAATCCATAACAAAAATTATAAATTTTCTTTATAAATAAAATTGATTTCTCTCAACAAGCACAGTTGAGAGTTGTCCAGTAATATTTAACAAATATTTTATCTATTTGGTTAGATATTTATTGGTATCATGCCAATTTATAACTAAACTTTTCATGATAGATACCATTTCAAAAACCCATATTAATTTGTCTATGGGACATCCATATGGCAAAAATGTATGTTTAACTAGATTAATATTCCATATATATATATAAATGGAGCAAGAAGATCAACCACTTTTTCTATTATAGTATTGGGTGGTCTCGAGTTCTAAACCCTTTTTAGGTCTGTAGGAACAACCACTTCTCTTCATAAACCTTAATAGTTTGACCATTACCCGTTATTCATTTTAGCCCCTTAATAAGTAAGTCCCTTCTAGCTAGTAAACTCCTCCAAAGACAACTAGGTCGTGGTCGGTCTATTTATATTTAATGTCACCATTTAGGAAATATTTTTCCCTTAGTACCTTTACAAGCAAGTATGTGTGATTAGAAAGGAGTTGTCATGCTTGTTTAGCAAACATTGCCTTATTGAAAAAATAGAAGTCCCTAAAGTCAAGACAATTAAGCATTTTTTAGGAACATAGGGAACTCCATTGAAGCCAATAAATTTGTCATTTTTTAGCTTAGTTACCCCATTAAAATCTTGTAATAAGCATATGAAGTTAGTTACAAAGATATTTAGGTAACAATAATTTACACATGACATATGTGGGTATTGCTTAAATAATTGTTTTAATCAATATCTCCTTCCCAACCTTAAATAATTTCCTGAAAGTGTCATTATGGAGCTTTCAGAATATCTTTGTGAAAAAGAACTCAAAAGTTGAATGAGGAGATCCACCCACAAATTTTGGTAGCTCCATATATTTTCTTTGGTGTTTCATTAACTGAATCCCTAATAAACTTTGAATAAGTTGACAATATTGCTCAATTAAGTATTCAGAGAAAGTGATGGAGGATTTATACATATTTTATGTCTTGATATAAGATTTTACCATATTTTATTCAAGATTGCTTGAATTTCAATAATATTTCTTGTCGTAGTCCTCTTGAAAATTAAATTCCCATAAAAAAGTAAGTGAGATGGGAAGAGCTAATTGTACTATTTTTATTCCATGAATCATATCCTTTGTTTATGCATGTTTAAGTAACGAAGAAAAAACCTCTATGCATAAGATAAATAACTAAGGAGATAGAGACATTTCTGACGAATACACCTATTAGGAGAAATAACATCTAATGGTATACCATTTACAAGTACATAACATGTAACTGAAATGACACAAGACATAATCAACCCAACAACACATACATAAAAACCAAGTTTTAATAACATTTCATTCGAGAATTGTTATGAAACTCTATTATAAGCTTTATTGACATTTAGTTTTAGTGTAAAGAAACTATGTTGACCACATCTCTGGTGTCAAAAATAATGAAATGCCTTAGGTGCAATTAAAATATTATCAATAGTAAAACGACCAAGAATGACTGTAGATTATGTAGAATGTACAATACAATCAAGCAAATTTTTTAAATACTTACCTATAAACTGTTGTTACTAGCTTTATAACAACATGACAAAAATTAATTAGGTGATAATCTAATGACATTTTAGGATGTGGAACTTTTGGTACAAGCAACATAAGTATGATTAAAGATTCATCATTGGAAGTGTTTTTTAATGATATTATAGTGACATCATTAATTGTAATTAGTTTCTGTCCTTTTTCATGAAGATGTTTATGTTTGAACACCATCTTAAACAAATTATAGATGACGTTATCAATTTCCTTGCATGATTTATATAATAATTTGAAAATATTATATTATTTTATATAATATTATTTAATGCATTTTTAAAATTTCCCACCTCATCTAATTTTAAGCGTGATTAAATATTCTCAAACGGGTGGCTTAGGGTACTTGTCAGCAAAACAACGTTTCCTTCATCTCGCCCCTGCGAAGCTCTGCAGAAATTCCATGCCCATGGCTACTCACCTTTGCAGTTGCGCCCCACCACCTACCAAAGTTACCAACAGCTCACTGTCTCCTCTACTAAACTATCATACTCATGCACCTAAACATCTGAGCTTCCTCGTACGGACACCCTCCCACTTTTCGACTCACTCACGGCCGTCTGTTTCAGCTTCTGCTGCTACCACCTCAATCGAAGTCAAAGACTCAGCGAACTCAGTCAGACCCTCCAAGTCACTGCCTTTCCGTGTGGGCCATGGGTTTGATCTCCACCGATTGGAGCCCGGATACCCTCTGATCATAGGCGGGATCAATATCCCCCATGATAGAGGCTGCGAGGCTCATTCTGATGGTAATTTTTAGGGTTTCTGATGGGTATTCTTATGTTTTCAGTGGGTGATTGAAGCTTGAGTTATGTTTATTGTTGGTATTGCAGGAGACGTGTTACTCCATTGTGTTGTTGATGCGATTTTGGGTGCTTTAGGGCTCCCTGATATTGGGCAGATATTTCCAGATTCTGATCCTAAGTGGAAAGGAGCACCATCTTCTGTTTTTATCAAAGAAGCTGTAAGTTCCTTTCTTATACTACTGACTTCTTTTGGTGTTTATGATGTTAACTTCTCTTGTGGCTGTTTCAGGGAGTTCACTGTAATTTAATTCACTGTAACTTAGTATTGTATTTGTCGTTTCTTAAAAATGATATATTAGATTTTTGTGATTAGCCATGAAAGAGATGCATATAGAGCTGAATTGCACTTCTGTTCAGTTGAGCTGCTTGGCTGGAATGGGGTGTACTCTTTGTTAAGCTCAAGCAAAATGGCCCCAATTTTGTTCGAAATCTTAGGGGTTCTTGTTTATTCTGGTTATTTATGAGTTCCTGACAGGAGTGGCTGCCAGGATTTTTGAAGCATAAACGTCTTCTCTGGACTAAGTTTACTTGGCTACAGGACGGGTTTCTAATGGTTTATTCTGTGAAGTCTCATTTACACTATGCTTTGAACAAAGGAATCCATTAAATGTGCCATTGGTTTGCAAAGCTATATTTTTATTTTTGAGTTATTACAGACTATGGAATTAATTTCAAAATGAATTTCTTTTCAAAATGAGCAAGAGCTTTTGAATTTTCTTAAATTTTATAGATTTTGAAATGAACTTGAGGGTTAAAAGTATAAAAACTTGAAATGACTTTGCACTATTATTTATGTCTTCTCAAATATAAAGATTTAGTTGAATTCTGCAAGAGATTTTTAAATGTTATATTTATTTCAAACATGAAATTTCATTAAATCATCCATCGATTCATCTAGGGATAACATGAAATTTCATGTTTCATTTGTTTTAAACAAAACCTTCATAAAATTTTGAATTTATTTATAAACAAAATTTTAATGCTTGAAGCACATAACAAAATCTGATAATTTTTTTTTTTTGGAAATTTAGTTGAATACTGGAACTTAAGCAAGGATGTAAAAATTATTTCAACCTTCTTCCTCTCTTTAAATTCTGAAGTTTACTCCTAGGTGAATTGAAGTTTCTTTTCTTTTCAGATGAAATCCGTTTAAAACACAATTTCATGTTTGGATCTTTTCCAAACATAAAATCAAAATTTAAAATAGATTTTACTATTCATTTTTGTATGCAATTCATCTGTTTCAAATCCTGCACAGGACATGCAATCAAATTAAACTTGTAAAAAGCATGCAATTAAACTTCACAACCTCATATCATTTAACTTAGGGGACTTGCTACAAAAGTGAGGTAATGTAGGTTTTCTGATTTTCTGGAGTGGGAAAAAGCAAGTGCAGTGACGCTTTCATATCCCTGTAATCATGCAGCTTCCTGTCTGGTGGTCAGTAAACCAGACAACAAAATGAACCTTCATTCAGGACAACTTTGTTAATTTGTAGTCAGAAACGCAATTAGGTTTTGTTCAGCTTGCTAGGTTAGGGTGTATGAATAATGAAATAGATGAAAATGCCTACCTTTCTTTTAACTATCCTTTTTTTCTGAAAGTTGCAACCATTCAAGAGAAAAAGCAAACTAGATTGCATTAAGATGATTGGGATGTTAGCTCGTTTGAAATTTTACTTATTGATGCTTTATGTGTTCCTTTTTCCCTTTGTATATGGTTGCTCTTGGGTTTATTAATATGAGGTAATGCACCCACGTTCACGAGGAGAGAGATGTATGTGAAACCTTACATGTGACACATACAACATTTCAATGCCAAAGAAAAAACCAAAAGGATAATATTCTTAGCCTTTTGGCAGCAAAGCTTTGTATTTTTTCTTTTTTACTAATATTTGACAAAATCAAAAGTCGACATAAAGAAGCTACGGGTTCACAATGAACATGCAAGCAAGCATTAACGATGATCTGATTGAATGTTAGCTTTTGTATTTAATTTGGCAGAACAGTTTCACTGAGGTGAATTTCCAATTGGTATATGACTTTGATAGAAGAAAACATAGAAGCAAGGAAAGATGTGAGAGCTAAGAAAAGAGAGAGTTGGTGGTCTTTGCTTTAAATTTTCTGAAAATCTAGACTCCGTTTTAATAGTTTTCATTTTTTGAAGTTATGTATATTCTATTTCATAAAGCGATGGACGTTAGTTACAAATAGAGAGAACAATAGTGAAAATGAAGATAGAATTAAGCAACTTTAAACTTCTAAAATAAAGAATTAGGGAATTTTAAAATATTGTTTTTAGTGTTCTCTAGAAAACTATTTTTTTGTAGTCTAATTGTTTAACAAATATTCAACTTGGACAAGATTTGCGTAAACACATGAATTTAGTTTGCGATTCTAGATATTTGATCTGCCCATCACTGGCTTGGATGGTTATGGGTTGGCATTTTGATGGGAATTTCCTAGTTTTGTGTCCAACATCTATTTGTATATATATATATATATATATATATATATAACACTTTATGATAGATATTTGGACATAAAGAGACCTTTTTTAGATAATTGATGACCTGATAGATCTAATTTATCTCTAAAATTGTGAGTCTTTTCATATATACTTGGAAAAGAAAAACTTTTTCTAATGCTTTGAAAGATACACCATTTGTTGATTTTGATAAGAACTAGCTTTTATTTCTCGAAATTTTGAATTCAAAATAACCAGGCTAATCTTATCATATAAGAGTTGTATTTGCACGCATATATGCAGCCTACCTAAATGATCTAATCTCCTATGAATTTTCAGCGTAACCTCGCTTATTTAAAGCACTC